GTAGTAACTTCTTCATCCGGCGATTTTCCTAATACTGGAGCATCTTTTATCCAAATCATACAATGCATGTGCTGCATACTTCTACGTTGATATTCCAGTCGCCAGAAGTAATGAATAATCTTTCCTATAGGATTATCGGACGAACAAATAAAATCAATCATGGCTTTGAATTTTATGCACATGAATCTAGAAGAGTACTTACAGGATCGTATGTATGCGATTAGTTCGTTGATGCCTAATCTCTTTATCGGGATTCATATCTCGTAAATATTCACCCAAATCGGACCATTTCCATTCACTAGGACTCAAAGTCAAAAACCACGTCGCTGACCGTAATGCAAAGTCATGCATTTTACATTATTGGACGGTTGTCGCCAAAAATTGATCCGTATTTCTCATTTTGCGAAAATACTCATTAAATTCGATTCTAATTCGTAATCTTTCAATTCGTTCAAGTTCTACCAGCAGTGTATCTCTTCGTGGGTTAGTAACCATCATCGTATATATAGATACCACTTTTTCAACTGTCGGTAGTTAGCATCATTGAGAAGGAAAAACAGATACTGCAGATTCAACCTGAATCTACTATGTTTCGACATCAATCGTGTTCTAATAAATAAATATTCCGGCAATGCAAAGTTTCTATCTTCTCGTTGTCCATTGACACCATCAGGATATAAATCAGGGAAACACAGACATCCAGATATTTATAACGATTATCCATTGGAAAAATCTTCAATTTCACCATTTGATAAAGCTTCAATGCAGATTCGTTATCGATTCTTTTCGCGTGTATTGGGTATATTGTATACTGATCGTTAATATCCGATCTTCAGTGATTTGTGTGAGAAAAGCCGTACATTTTTAAAACGGTTTGATCATTATTATTTTTGTTTTGCTGTACATTGTACAAATTCAATGCTGGTAATTCCTCAACCACCTCATTTATTTCGTCATTGTCGCTTTCCTCATCGACAATCCGATATTTGTTTCCTGCAACTTATCCTTTAATAGATCATCAGATGACGACGCTGGAAGACGAATTTTGAGTAATGAGGATTATTTCTTTCAACCATTGGTAAAGCCTTATACATTTTATTAATATCTACCAAATTTTCCCAAAACCACTTTAGATTTCTTGGGTATACCTCGAACGAGAATGTGCAACTCGTGATTCAAATTTATAGGATCTTCCGGAGGACATACCTTATCCAATGTTTCTTGTAAAGGCAGAGGGCAAATGAAATGTTCTACCTTTTTCTAAACAGAGTTCGATTATATAAGTTTCTTGATTTAAAATGTGCTATATTTAAATCATTTAATTATTTTTTTCGTTCAAGTACAATTAACAGCAAAAACTGCATATACGTAGGTATGTATTTGACTCTACTGCCATTACTTGAAACAAATACATTATTCGATATTAACAAATTGGAACTCTGGAATTACGAGTAATTATTTTTCATTGTACAGACTAGGTTTAAATTTTTGAGGACCTTCTTTTGAACATGGCTTGACCTTTTCATTTTATGATTTTTGAGATAGGGTGAGAGAGGACGAATGAGGGTAAGGTAAGAGAAGACGAGATAGGCGAAAGAGAACGAAAGAGGGTGAGAAAGGGACGTACGAGGGTGAAAGAGGTGAGAGGGGGTGAGAGAGGACGAAAGAGGGTGAAAGAGGACGAAAGAGGTCGAAAGAGGGTGAGAGAGAACGAAAGAGGGTGAAAGAGGACGAACGAAGAGGGTGAGAGAGGACGAAAGAGTGTGAAAGAGGTCGAAAGAGGATGAGAGAGGGCAAAAGAGGGTGAGAAAGAATGAAAGAGGGTGAGAGAGGACGAAAGAAAGTGAAAAAAAGGTGAAAGAGACGAAAGAGGGTAAAAGAGGGTGAGAAAGAATGAAAGAGGGTGAGAGAGGACGAAAGAGAGTGAAAAGAGGACGAAAAAGAGGGTGAAAGAGGACCGAAAGCGGGTGTGAGAGGGAATGAAAGAGGGTGAGAGGGAATGAAAGAGGGTGAAAAAGGGTGAGAGAGAATGAAAGAGGGTGAGGAGAGGACGACGAAGAGGGTGAGTCGCGAAGAGGGTGAGCGAGAGGACGAAAGAGGGTGAAAGAGGAAGAAAGGGGGTGAGAGGAATGAAGAAGGGTGAAGAGGGAGAGAGAATGAAAGAGAGGAAGAGGGGCGAAAGAGGGTGAAAGAGGGTGAGTGAGAGAGGACGAAAGAGGGTGGATGAGAGAGGACGAAAGAGGGTGAAAGAGGCGAAAGAGGGGTGGGGAATGGGAATGGGGTGGAGTGGGGATGGGGAGTGGGGGTGGGGATGGGGGGTGGGGGTGGGGGGGGAGTGTGGAGGGAAAGGGGTGGGTGGAAGTTGAGGGAGGTGTGAGTGAGGTGAGAAGAATTTATACGCGGACAGAGAAGAAGAAGAAGAAGAAGAAGAAGAAGAAGAAGAAGAAGAAGAAAGAAAAGAGAAGAAGAAGAGAAATGACGACGTTACTTCTTTTTCATGAAAAACGTCACTTTTTGACCGCTTGTATCTCCAGAACGGCTTGACCGATTTTATTTTTTCTTGGCTCAAATTACTGTGGCGATGCCGCCTCAGGTTATATTTAGTGCAATTCAAAAATTTTTTATATTTTAGTAGTTCTACACCCCCAAAAAATGGACTTTGATGGGCAGGATAAGGGATGTAGTGTCTTTTAAGGTCTTTAGGGTTTTGAACTGGCCGGAGACACTACCGCGTCTCCTGATATATATAATGCTGTTGTACAAATATATATAAATGTTATACAGGGTATCCGGGTGATTACCTGCAATACTTTGGGAGGTTATTCGCTATTATTATTGTTGTTCAATATGAATAATGATAATAATAGCTCTTACCATTAATATTTTCCTTTTTTAATTATTTGTGTCATTGTGAACTTGTGTGTGATAAACCTTTATATATACACTCAGTGTGCACTAGTGCACCGATCGATTCGCTATATGTCGAAATTAAAGTCCTGAGCCATTTTGTTTATTGAGTTTTCTGAGGTTTCATATATGTATATATATATATATATATATATATATTATATAGATATATATATAAATAATTTTGATTGACAGATGAATACCAGACTGCCATAGATTTCGCAATAAGAAAACACAAAAACTGATACAGATATATCAGTGCTAGAAACTGGCCGAAACAAAAGGAAAGTAAAAAAAGTAAAAAAGAAGAGCCAAAATGATTACACGAGTGACTTCAGCGATAATTCCCAAAGTCATAGAATGACACCACCTCCGATGCTGTCTAGCGTATTTGGTACGTTAGTAGTGCATTATTAATAGAACTAAATTAGGTAGTGCATTACGTTACTAATAGAATTGAATTCAGGAATTTAATTTTAATTTGTAAGGGATACAGTCAGGATTTTTCATACTTTTGTTTGCACATTTTATATATATAGACACACTTTACTATCCATAATATATAGTCACAAACAATTTTGAATTTTTAAACCACTGAAAACATCTAGAAAAATGAAAATATGCCGTTATAACCACGAATATCAATTCCGGCACAATTTATACATTTTACTTCACTATTTTTTCAACACTTCTGGGCTATTGTGATGATGCAAACATAAGCCATTACAAATTTGAGCACTTTAAAGTACTTAAAAATAAAAGTATGTAACAAAATAAAAAAATCGACATTATCTAAACACCTGTACCTTAATTTTAGAAATTTGATCTTTAAAATTGTTCGCGAATCGCGAATTTCAATCATTCCATTTTAATCTGCATAAGCAGATGATGATTGAGCAAAAGTAATAAGAAAATTAATACACACTCTTATTTCTTGTAACATATTACGGTTTAAAAATAGTAAACTAAATTTTTTAAATATATAAATAAGAAAGTAAAAATGTATAATATAAATTCTCCTATATAAAATAAAAATAATATAAATATTATATTTTTTGTAATCAAATAATTCTAATTTTGTTAAGTGTTGGTTCAAAATATGTTTACGTAATACATAAATAGCCTTTATTCAGTCTTACAAGTGAATACAGAAGTAATATTTTTGCAACGATAGATGAATCTTTTTATTAATATTTATTTTTCAGATCCTGCAATCGAAAGTAGACGATCAAGTGAAGTTCTACAGACTGCAAGAATCTGCCAGCAAATATTGACAACATTCTTCCAACCGTCAATAAAAAAATAAATGGTACTATAGGTGATATAGGTTAGTATTTTTTAATGTGTATTAAATAGAATGTTAATGTTTTGTCTGAGTACTTATAATTTTGTGATTTATTTAGATTCAAACAATAACGATAATAAAGAAAATCAGATAGATCAAACGGATGATATAGGGGTTTTGAATCGTAACAATAAATAAACAATACTGGGATCTTGAAACCTGCTCAACAGAGGGTATGTGAACGTATATATATGTATATATTTAACATTCACATACACGTATTTATTATCGTGTATATCTACGTAAATAACAAAATATTTTCATATATCAAGACTTACTTTCCGAAGTTACATTTTTTATAATATAAAATATATTTTAATTCTACAGATTTAGGTCCGCAAAATATTGCTGGAAACGCATCTCTAACTCCGACAAGAAATAACTTATTCGCACAAAACGTAATCTTTGAAGATTTCCCATCAGGTTATCAATATCATTTATTAATATGTATTGTTATTTTTATTACTTAAACAACTACACAACAGCAACAATAATAACAATTATGTAATAATATTTAATTGTAATTTTACAGATAGCCAGATATAATCAAGATTTTAGAGAACACGATAGAGATTAAAACGCTATTAAGACAACAAAATGAATTTTGAGCATTTAAAAAACAAAAAAACGACGAACCAGTAATATTTGCAGCAGCAGGTCCAAGATTTAATAATTTTTCGACTATCCCTACAAAACCATTTAAAAGCATCGAAAATTGCTTGCAGTATGACACTTCATTGAAGAATGGATGAAGATTGGAAAAAAACAACTGGTGATAATATATACACTATCCGTCAATGATTTCGTTCCTCTAGGAAATAGAGCGCTATAGATTCTTTATAGTTTATCTATATATAGCATCGTCTTATTTATTTTCTAGGAGGAATGGGAAGGAATCATTGACGGGTGTAGTGTACATTCCTCACTTACTTATTTATACAATTAAAATATAATGCATCGTATATTTAATTAGACATGTAAATTATAAAAGATTGAAAAATGTTTCGACATTATTTATGTATGAAAAATGTAGTATGTCGTTATAATTGTAATAATTATATGCTTCAGGAAACATTTTTCTATTTGCTTGGAGGAGACTCACCCCAAGATCAAATAAAACATAGCTTGGAAAAAATGTTTTCCAATAAATTGGCTATGAAATGTTCATGGAAAGGCCAGAAAGGAAACTTTGCTATAAATTCACTTCTGCTAATAGATATCATAAAAAGTAAGACTTTCTGCATTGACCTAACTTGAAACAAAATTAATAAATCAATTTATTAATCTTAATTTTTTCTTGCGTTTATAGAGGCTGTTCGAAAGCATTATCCGATGTTAACGGATAGACATTATGTAAATTATGTTTCCGCCTGGCTTAAATATGCCAAAACACGTTATGATAGAGAGCAGGTACTTTTTTCATTTACTTAAATGAATTACTATTTTTATACAGCTGAATTGATTTTGTGTCTTTTTTCTTGTCTTAGGCAAAAGCACTTAGAAATCAGATCGGATAAGGAAATGTACATGAACTCATATGGCGTTCAGCCGACCCTGCAAATGCATTAATAGTGCAATATTAAAATATAATAATATTTATTTTATAAATTAGAATAAATATTTAAAAATACATATAAATATATAATAATATATCTTAATATAATTAATGTTTTAATTTTTTATTTTATCAAAATATTGTTGTATATGTGTATACAATAATATGTAATTAATATGCAAATAATTTTTGTTTTTCACTGATCGTATTATTACACATGTAACGAATATATAAAGTTAATTTGCAACGAATGTATAAGGCACAGTCTAAAATGAGTCATTAATTGTTGATCAGATGTGTCCTAATAAGTCGTAAGTCATAATTATGACTTACGACTTATTAGGACACATCTGATCAACAATTAATGACTCATTTTAGACTGTGCCTTATACATTCGTTACAAAAACGTTGCAAATTAACCATGAAGCGGAAAATAAGTTCCTGGAACGTTGTATAAAGAACGTTGTATAAACGTTGTTTTTAGAATTAAAGTTTGTAACGTTTCCCTAACGTTTCATGCAAGTTTTACAAATGTCGCAAAAACGTTGTAAATGCGACGTCGCACATATAAGGTTTCTCAAACGTCTAAAACGCGTTGCAAGTTCGACGTCGCATATGTAAGGTAATTGAATCGGGACATTTCTGGTTCCTGAAACGTTGCCAAAAGGTTAATACAACAAAACGTAAAACGTCGCACGGCTATATTGCAATGTTACAAAAACGTTTTTGCAACAAAATATTGTTTAGCGGGAATTGACAATTGATATAAACGAAATTAATCGGAGAACGATCGATTAACAATTAATACAAACTAATTTAATTAAAAGTTTTTTAATTAACGATTAATATGAGTTAATTTTAATTAGAAGTACTTTCATTGACGATTGAAAAAAACAGATTCAATCGAAGACAATTCAATTGACAATTGATTTGAGCAGAAACAATTAAAAAATATTTAATTGACGATTAAATATAGCAAATTTAATGCGAATCTCTTCCATTAATGATTGACTTAAGAAAATCGATATAATTTCTCTATTTCCATTAATTAACAATGTGTAACGATTATACAATTTAAATTTTAATCGAAGATGTTTGATTGATGATATTAATATGACTGAATTTAAATAATATATATCTTTTCCTTGGTTCTAGCAAAGTTATTGTACGTAATAGTTACAATATAAATAATAAATAATCTACGTTTTTTAAACCATATTTTTATTCAGAACATTTTCAATTCATTATACATTTTATTATATTTAATTTAATTATATTTAATGTTAATATATATTTCTCGAATTTTTTCATTTGTTCTAAAATAATAAATGTATAATATGTTATAATAAAATGTGTTGTACATATATACAATATATATTATAATTCAAAATTATCAATCAAATGTAATATTGCAGGAAGTTTGGTAATACAACGAAGTGTAACCATACAGTTTCCTTCTGGAGAACATTTCTGCATTCAACTAGGTAACCGTTTCACAATGTTTTTACATATTACATTCAAATTGTGTTTAGTTATTATAAATAAATTATTAGAGAAAAATATTGGAAAATATTGAATAACATAATTAGAATACGTTGTATATAAATATTTATATAAATGGTCTTGTTTTAAAATTGTATTATTATTTAAATGCTTAGAATGTATATATTTTGTTATTATTATGTATTTATTTATATATTTATATTTTTTTATATTGAAAAGATTCATTTTTCTTTTTCCTTTTTTTAAATTAATAAATTTTATTAAATATTTGTTTGCCAATTAAACAAAAATGTAATCGTACACCAGCAATTACTTTTTAAAATATTATTTTTTTTGTGTGTGAATGGTTTCATATAATATCTGGATTGCAAAAATATATTGTTAATAATAATAGTTTTGTTGCATATCTATTATGCATATAATTTGGAAATAATATAATTTAATAATTAAAAATTGCAAACAGAATAATATATTCACATATTTATATTTATTATATTATATCTGCACATATTCATATTGATGAGATAATTGTTTATTATATAAAATCATGTGCGTGATAATTAAATATTTTCTATGCAATCAAATTAATAAGGAATATAATGATTTAACATGATTATATTCTAAATCTGTTGGTGAAAACGTTACGTGTAACAAATATATACAATTAAAGTTATTAAAATTTTATTATTTTTGTAAAATATCATTTACTTTGTAGAATACTTGAAAATATTACAATTCTATTTCTTAATAATAAATTAATTAAATTTAATAAAGGAAATAAAACATTTTATCGTGTTTTGATATTGGACTTATTAACCATAGCGTGTAATTGAATATTATAGGTCTACGCTTATTGTGATAAAGCTCTTTGTTAATTGACTGAAATATAACCTAAGAGCTTTGGACATTCACATTCCACAGTAATCAAAGAGTTAGGATTATCAATTCTTTAAGGTAACGTATTGATAGTTTGTTAATTACTTGTCATATTGCAAATACAATTTGACTTTATCAATTTATAATTATTAAAAATCGTTTTAGAGTGAATCTTATGTAACAAGCTTTTTTTGGTTTTCTTTGGAATTTTTTATAAAGAACTCATAAATGTTTTTTATATGTACAAATAATTTCATTTTAAAAAAGGTAAAAAAAGATGTTATTCCGCGACAAAAACTACATCTCCAAAATCTTACAGAATCTTAAAACATATCTGAAAAATAATGTATTTAAAATATATAATGACATTAAAAACTTGCGATAACAAAAATATAAACATTAAAGACCTGCGACAAAAAAAATTAATTTAAAAACTTAGCATTGCTAATGTCATTATTGCATATTAGTTCAATTAAAATTTCAATTGTATAGTTTAATACAACAATTACAATTGTTAAATTGTTGTTTAGCTTAGCAGTGCTAAGTTTTTAAATTAAATTGTTCTACTTTTTTTCGCAAGCTTTTAATGTTTTTTTATTTCTTCTTGTCGCAAGTTTGTAATGTTTATATCTTTTTTGTCCCAAGTTTTAATGTCAGTATGTATTTTAAATTCATTATTTTTATAAGAAATTAAAACAACTATTTTGTGCAACTTTTTTAAATTAAAATATTTTAATAAGGTTTTATTTTTGCTTAGCGCAATTTTTAGATATGTTTTAAGATTCTGTAAGATTTTGGAGATATAGTTTTTTACGCGGACTTAACAACTTTTTTTACCTTTTTTAAAATGAAATTTTTTATACATATACAAAACATTTATGAGTTCTTTATAAAAAATTCCGAAGAAAACCAAAAAAGCTTGTTACATAAGATTCACTCTAAAACGATTTTTAATAATTATAAAGTGATAAAGTCAAATTGTATTTGCATTATGACAAGTAATGAACAAACTATCAATACGTTACCTTAAAGAAAATTGATAATCCTAACTCTTTGATTACTGTGGAATGTGAATGTCCAAAGCTCTTAGGTTATATTTCAGTCAATTAACAATCAAAGAGCCTTATCACAATAAGCGTAGACCTATAATATTTAATTACACGCTATGGTTAATAGTCCAATATCAGAACACGATAAAATGTTTTATATCCTTTATTAAATTTAATTAAACGTATAAGACGGGCAACAAGAGCCAAATCGCGGATGACAATGCGTTGTTCTAACGAAACTAAATAATTTTTCGTTAGAATTAAATACCGGTGCACAAGGCACCAAATTTTTACTTGGACACGGCCAAGATTTTAAATATGAAATAATCTCATATTTTGAGATTTAATTTCAATACCCCTTTAACCCCCCTACGGAAAATAAATAAATGGATGCAAGAGAAAAATATAGATCCGAAAATCGCTGAATCGGGAATCGAACCCGAGACCTTTCGCTTGCCGGGCGACTGCTCTTCCAACTGAGCTATTCAGATCCTTTCGATTCTATACTTTTCTCTGTTATATATATTAATGTTGGTAAACAAACGCATTTTTTAAGCCAGCGTGTATCAAATATAAGAGTTTTAACAAGGCTCTGTAATATAAATATAAATTTAACGTATAAGACGGGCAACAAGAGCCAAATCGCGGATGACAATGCGTTGTTCTAACGAAACTAAATAATTTTTCGTTAGAATTAAATACCGGTGCACAAGGCACCAAATTTTTACTTGGACACGGCCAAGATTTTAAATATGAAATAATCTCATATTTTGAGATTTAATTTCAATACCCCTTTAACCCCCCTTCGGAAAATAAATAAATGGATGCAAGAGAAAAATATAGATCCGAAAATCGCTGAATCGGGAATCGAACCCGAGACCTTTCGCTTGCCGGGCGACTGCTCTTCCAGCTGAGCTATTCAGATCCTTTCGATTCTATACTTTTCTCTGTTATATATATTAATGTTGGTAAACAAACGCATTTTTTAAGCCAGCGTGTATCAAATATAAGAGTTTTAACAAGGCTCTGTAATATAAATATAAATTTAACGTATAAGACGGGCAACAAGAGCCAAATCGCGGATGACAATGCGTTGTTCTAACGAAACTAAATAATTTTTCGTTAGAATTAAATACCGGTGCACAAGGCACCAAATTTTTACTTGGACACGGCCAAGATTTTAAATATGAAATAATCTCATTAAAAAAATTAAAAATTATTTATTATTTATTAATTAAAATTACTCATTAATTAAAAAAGAAACGGATATAAACACATAACATTATATGTGCGCATATATATGTATGTACCATACATATACAGAATGTTCAAAAAGTATAGAAGCACCTGAATTATTCCAAAAATATACAAGATAAAAAAATGTTTTAAACAAAAGTTGCAGGACTTCAAATAAAGCATTATGTAACAATATCAGTATGACCTTGAACAGCGTCGTCAAGGTCACGTAAAGATCACTTTAAATTTTTTAATGGAAACTTTTACTTTTTATTACATCTTCTTAAAGTTCAGCTTTAGAATTTTTCAAAACACAATAATAAAGTATTTTTTTTAGTTATTAGATCTGAAGTTTATAGAATTTTAACATAAAATACAAAAAAAATCTGGTAAAACATTCAGTTTTCGGTAATTTTACTTTAATATTTTTATGTACAAAACAATAAGACCAATTAATTGATATAAGAAAAACACAGGGTTGATTTTAAAAAAGTAAGTAATTTGCAATATATTTGTTTTTATATGAATAAAAAAATATTTTGTTATAGTGTTTTGAAAAGTTCTCGAGCGAAGCTACAAGAATATAGAAATGCAGAGAAAGTTACATTAAATATACCGGGTTTTTCAGGAAGAATAATTAACATTCTAGAACATAATAAATACAGATTATTTTAAGTTTATATAAGCATGTATTTTGTTCTGGACGCGGTTATAAAAATACAACGTGATCAGTTTTAAGAACGAATGAATTTATTTAAAAGTAGCAAATTTTAAGTTTACAGTTATATTATACATATAAAACAATTAAATTTTATAATTTTGAATAATTAATAGTAACATTTTGAAATTCTTCTCTCTTTATTCTTGTTTGCTTTTTTCTTGATCTGACACTAAAAGATATTCTAATAAATAAATAAATAAACATATATGCACATATATGCATATATAAAATGTAATTATTGTATAATATATATGCAATTTTATATATAGTATTGTGTATATAGTTATATTATATATTATATACAAAGTGTTTCAGGAAGAATGATTAGCATTCTAAAGTATAGAAATATGAGATTGTATACCTTATTTTAAGCAATAAAGTTTATATAAACATGTGTTTCATTTGTGAACGTGGTTATAAAACTACAACGTGTTCAGTCTTAAGAACAAATACATTTTTTTAACTTAATAGAAGCAAATTTTATGAAACAATTACATTAAATTTTAAGCTTACAATTTTAAATAATTAATTTAAATTAATATTAATTAGTAAACAATAATTTAAATTAATTAACAATAAATTTGGCATGAGTGTAAACATAAAACATTTTAATTACACCAGAAACAAAAAATTTCAAATTAACGCAAAACTTATTAAATATGACCTAATGTTTACATTTGTATTCGGATAGTAACAGAAAACGACAAAAATTAAATAAAAAAAATTAATTAATTAATTAATTAATTATTGTTTCATAGTATTTATTTCTCCTAAATTAATAAATGTGTTTGATCTTTAAAATTGAACACATTGTATCTTTAAAACCGTCCAAAATAAGATGTTTGTATAAATTTTTTTGCTTAAAATAATTCATACAATCATGTTCTAGAATATAACCATAGAATATTGATCATTCCTTGAAACATCTTGTATATGTATATAGGATGTTCCACCAAAAATTCTCTTTTATTTTTTAAACTAAAAGAGATAGACTATAATATACATATCAAATTAAATGATCCAATCTGAATTCTATTGTAAGCATACCCAAGTAAGAAACAAATATATAAAAAATGTTTAAAACTCATTTCAAAGATATTTTTAAAATGTTAAAATAATTGGTTAAGTCCTTTTTTATATAAATCACATTTAAAAAAAAAACGTTTACCTTAATGTTAATTCAATATAAATATTTATTTAACATTTATTAAATATTTAATTAAGATATTTCTATCAGGCTCTCAATATTAAATATAATACATATGATAGAAAGGCTGTAAGAGCCGAACGCGGATGTTGCTGCGTGTATTCCGACGAAAATTAATTTTTCATCGGAAATAAATAATTATATGCACAAGGCACGAATTTTACTTGGTCACTGCCAAGACTTAAATATATGGAATAATCTCATCTTTGAGATTTAATTCCATTGAACCCCCTCTGACCCTCCTTAAAGAAATAAATGCGAGAAAAATATAGATCCGAAAGTGGCTGAATCGGGAATCGAACCCGAGAACCTTATATTTAAGAGAACCTAAATATTTAATATTTTATTATTAAAATATTAATAAAATAAATGTTTATTTAACGTTTATTACATATTTATTTTATTAATATTTTTAAAAAATATAAAAATTTATTAATATTTTTAAAAAATATAAAAATATATAAAATATTTAATAAATGTTAAATTAATATTTATAATACATTAACATATAAAAGTAAACTTTTTTTAATGAATAAAAAGGAACTTAACCAATTATTTTAACATTTTTTAAATAGCTTTTAAAATGAGTTTTAAACATTTTTTATACATTTATTTGCTACTTCGCAGTGGTTGCTTACTGAAGCTGTTTATGTAAACAAATGGAGAAGTTTGCACTCTCTGTTTCTCTCTACGCAGATATAAGGTGAATCAAAAATATTGTTTTCAAAATTTGTGAGCTTGTTCCTTTTTATGCAAGAATACACAAATTTTTTAAACATACTTTTGACTCACCTTGTACACACACCGATTACACTTATTACTTTTAATGATGATATAATTTTTACCTGTTGTGATGAATTTTCTTCAAATTTCTTTTTTTTTAACGTGCGATTAACATTTATTATAGTAGTCAAAGACATTCGGTCTTCTAATTTCTTAATGTTTAGACTTTGTACTGAAAAGTACGGTGGATCAACTGTAAATAATTATTACACAGTTATTATATATAAAAATAAAATATATATGTATAATTTCGAAAAAGAATAAAGGTATTAATATATAATCATAAAAAAATTGCTGTGAAATGTGTGTGTATACGAAGGCAAGGGAACAAGGAAATCATTTTAAACAATTACTTAAATATTTAATAATGTTATTGAATTTAAAATTTGTTAATTTAATGTTGTTTGAAAATTTGTAAGTTCAAAAAATAAATGAATTTATCTATAATTCTTTAATTTAATTGATAATCGAAGATATAAATTTATTGACATTTTTTGATTTACAAAAACATTTTTAAGAAGCCCTTAAATTTATTATTATATTTTTTTGAAACACCATGATTACGAAATCAAAATATCAAAGCAGGAAAGTTTAAAATTAATAAAATTGAAATTAATAATAATAATAATAAATATTTAAACATTTCTTACTTGCATATTGCATCTCGCCAATTACTTTAATTTTATCTCCTTTCATAAGTTCATAATCGTTTTCTTCAAAACTTGTAATATGTACTTCTAATTTAAAGTACCCATCAGTGATGGATCCACATCCAATTTTCTTATTCAAATTAGTTTTATAAATTGGCCCAAAATTGGACTTTATATAGTCCTCTAATGCTATAAAAGAAAAAATATATAAACATATATAAATATATAAATATATAAACATATAAATATATAAACATAAATATATGTATAAACATAAAAATATGTAAACATAAATATATAAACATATAAATATATAAACATATATACAGAGTGAGTAATAGAAAATTTATTACGTTCTTCTAAAAAAGAAAAGGTTAAAGATAAAGGAAGATATAAAGAATAATATATATTACCAAAATTATAGGTTTAAAAATATCTATTTACAAATCTTATCACTTTGACCTTAAATGGTGTTGCCAAGGTCAAGACAAAACTTGAATTTTTTAAATAGAATCACCATACTTTTTTATACAAATCGATTTCTATAATATTCTGTATAAAAAGTTATAAGAGTAAAAAGGTCAAAAAGTGAATAGTTTACGATATTTCATATTTTAATTTGACATAATCTTACATAAATTATGAAATATATATATATATATATATATATATATATATATGTTGTAAAATATTCATTTTTCAATAATCTTATCCTAATACTTTTATGTACAAAATGGCTTCTAGTTGAAAATTACATATTTTTTCTTAAAAACAATTATGTATTTTCTCTAGACTAATCGATTTTTCTCATTATTTTATTCATAAAAATATAATATTAAGATAAGATTATCAAAAAATGAATATTTTAAGAGAAATTTCACAGTTCATGTGTAAGATTATGTAAAATTAAAATATAAAATATTTTATAATCTATATATTCACTTTTTAATCATCCTACTCTTTTATAACTTCTTATACAGAATATTACAAGGAATCAATTTATAAAATAATAAAAATATATGATGATCTTATTTAAAAAATTCAAGATGTTTTTACTTTGACCTTGGCAACGTCATCCAAGATCAAAGTGATAAGATTTGTAAATCGATATTTTAAACCCTAATTTTGAAAATAGATATTTTCTATATCTTCCCTTATCTCTAATCGTTTTTGAAAAAAACGTGGTGGACTTTTTATCAGACTCATCCTGTATATGTATATATTCAGGATGTTCGATTTAATCGGTCTACACCAATATTTCGAAAAATATAGAAAATACGAAAAAAATGTTTTATACAAAAGTTTTATGACTTTAAGGGGGACAGACAGAATATCATTGGTTTGATCTTGCATAATCGTTTGAATCTTACGTGAAGGTCACTTTCAATTTCTTAAATGGAAACCCTTATTTTTTAATGCATATTCTTGTAGTTGCTTATTTCGAGAGCTTTCCAAAACACTATAATAAAATACTTTCTTCTTAAGTACTTTTTGAGATATAAAGCTTAAAGTTTACAATTTTTTAACATAAAACATAAAATATATATATATATCTTGTAAAATATTCAGTTTTCCGTAATCTTACTTTAATACTTTTATGCACAGAATAATGAGACCAATTAATTTATATAAAGAAAACAAATAAGTATTTAAAAAAAATGTAAGTAATTTGCCACTGCAGCTGCACACTTTTTTTTAATGCAACTATGTATTTTTTTACACTAATTGATTAGTTTCATTATTCTATGCATAAAAGTATTAAAGTAAAATTGCTGAAAACTGAATGTTTCACAAGATATTTTGTATTTTATGTAACTCAAGAAATATTTAAGAAAAAAATATTTTATTATATTGTTTTGGAAAGCTTTCGAGATAAGCTACAAGAATAAGTATTCAAAAATAGGACTTTCATTTAAAAAATAGAAGTTGATCTTCAAACAATTATCCAAAATCAAACTAATGATACCATTTTTCGTTTCCCTTGAAGTTATAAAACTTTGGTATAAAACATTTATATTTTCAATATTTTTCGAAATATTAAATAGTATTATAAGAAATGAATAAAAATAAAAAAAATAATAATAAACAATTCATGAGTATAAGAAGGCATAAGATTGAATTGTAATTTACCGACTCTTGATGATGTATTCATTACATCACAAAACTCCACAAGCTCCGGTTCGATTAAATTGGTTCGTTCCATATTATATTTCCCAAAATTGAAGATTGTTGTATTACTCTGGATCTGTAGCTCGTAGGGCACATTGCCGTTATTATATCGTGAAATTTTAGGAGTACGAGCCTGCACTCCGTCTAAATGAATAATCTATAATATAAATTTTATATTAATTAAAAATATACAAAAATTAACTTATTGAATTAAAATCAAATTTGAAAAATTTCTTAAATAAATAACATAAGTGTATACATATATATATATATATATATATATATATATTTATTTATTTTTTATGTTCCTTTGGTATGTTTCTTTCGTAAAAAATTCGAAAATTTATATTATTTAAAAAATTCAAAATTTCATGAAAAATGATCACCAATCTTCATTAAATTTAATAGCAACCATTCTTTATTCTTTAATGATACTCTATTCAAGTAAAAGAATTTACCTCTGTTCGGAGTCCGTCCGAACTGTTATTCGGCATGATAGGCGCGTGATACTATACGACTCTCAAGCGTGAGCACGTCGTGATCTTCCCTGCGAGGCACGCTTGCCCCGTTTTTGGGTGAAATGCCTAAGCGCTCCGACCAGTCAGTCGTCCGAGAGACCCGAAAAGTTAACAAGCGAGTGATCCGCGATTACGAACCCTGGTGAATTTATTTTCTATAGTGACATTATTATTCAGTTTATAATCTTAATCAGGCTTTATTCTTACTTGTGTTTTATTCATTACTGTAAATTTACTCATTTTTTTTGTGCCAAAATAAAAACAAAGTTATACAGTCCATTATTTACTTGATTACGTGGCGTCCCACGAACAACCTCGATATGTCAAAATTTATAGAAGTTAGAACACAATCACAAACATTTATCGAAAAATTAAAATTGCATTAAAATTTAAAATACTATATAAATTTTAAAAATATTAAAAATTATTATAAATTTCTTCAGTTGCTATAACTACATAGATATAAGAGATAAATTAACTTACCACATTACCTTAAACATATTATTAATCGCTGTTCTGTCTCAATTAGCTTACGAACATATTGCCGGGTTATTCTAGGTACAATTGCAATAACTCTTCGCATTGAGTAACGATCATCCTGATGCATTTTCTTTTTTCCTTTGTGTATCTGTAGTACTAGAATGTATTGATTGTTTATTATATCTCTTTAAAGTATGTATATCAATAATTTTTTGCCCGATCTCATTATTTTTAAAATAATCTTTGTTTTCACTATCTGATGTTAAAATAATATCATTAGTAGATGTATTGAATTCAATCTTGCATTTATCTGAAATACAAATATAAATTAATGAAATAAAAGTAAAAATTTATAAAATAGAAGTAAAAATGAAAAATATCTTCAATAAATAATGTATTAAAAATAATATATATCTTTTACAAAAAATTAAGATAGCATGTTTTTTTAAATTTATTTTACAGATCAATATAGTGGACATAATATTATTATTATTAATATGATTAATAATAAATACCTTGTGAATCAATATTTTTTTTGTCGCTCTCATCACTTATAAGATCTTCATTATTGTTTGTGGGGTCTAATGTATCTAAATTTTCATTTGTAGATACTATGTCAAATGTAAGTTCACGCTTTTCTGAAATAAATAGAAGTTAATAAAATAAAAATAAAAACAAGAAGCAATAAGAATGAAACATTAATATTAGAAAATATTCAATAATTATATTGCAAAAAATTCAGAGGTCACATTAAATTAGGTTAATAATAGTTAATTGTAGATGTACCTTCAATCTCTAAATCTGTCATATTTGATGTAAATAATACTGGTGCATTTTATATTAGATATGGTGCTATATTAAGTACATCAGGATCAATTTTTGCTTCAGTTTCTTCTGGTCCTCCACCAGTTGCTAAACGCGATTGTTTTTCTTTAGTTAATACATCTCTCTGCGACTGCTTTAGATTTGGCCACAATTTTTTCAATTGTTGAAGTTCTCTATAATCAAAATATTGTGTAATATAATAAAGCGTATATTATTATCTGCTATATTAGGCCCTTCGCATAATCAAAAATATAAAGTTCTTACTTCTTGAGAGATTAGTGTCGATTGATTGTATTCTTTACATACTTCACTCCATGCAAGGTCTTTATCTTTTAATGTTGTGCCGTCGCTTTTTTTTTATTTCTATTACATGTTTTTCTAGTATTTGTAAGAATAATTTCCTTTCCATCAATGAATAGTGTTTGTTTTTGCTTGTAGGCTTCTCTTTGCAAGACATTCTGTAAAAAATATATATTTAATATCTACTAAAGTTTAATTTTACTCAATAAGATTCAAATATCGTCGTTCATTAATTACAAATATTTCAAACCTGTATATTTCTCGATGATTTTTTTCAATGAAGATTGAAAATTGAAGCGATGAAACACATCCGTACGAACGCAAGATAACAGCACACAAGAATACGTATATTGCATGTCTGCATGTATCATATGTGTCTCCGATGCAATGTTTCTATTGGAGGAAATGCTATGTTCCTATTGGAGGAATAATAGTAATATTACGAAAATAGCCGATTCGCGCGCGCGAAAATAAGCACAGGCTTAAGTATGTCTTCATCAAGTCAGTCTCAAATTAAATAAGATTTACTTGAGTGTTAACTTCTTCACGAAGATTGTCTTATTTCACGGCTATGAAATCTATGACGATTATGAAATCTATTAATCTTAAGACGATCTAGATTGAATAAAATAGACTTGATCATAATCATCTTATGTGTTAATTTGAGACTCGACTATGAATACGGGCCTTTGTCCCAACATTCCCAACCAGTCCAACCTCTTTTGACGACATCTTCGACAATCTCAGTTTGGGAAGAATTTGATATCACAATAAGCCACCTTCAAGGAATGCACAATCCCTCTACTGCAGCAATTATAGAGTTAGACAAATATTTGGCCGAACTCCACATTACCAGGACAAACGATCCTCTAATTTGGTGGGAAGCAAGAAAAAATCTATACCCAAATTTATATAAAATAATGCTCAAAAGGCTCTGCATCCCTGCAACTTCGGTCCCATGTAAAAGAATATTTTTTAAAGCGGGACAAATTTGTAATGAAAAAAGCCGATTAACAACAAAAAAATTAATCAAATTTTAGTTGTGCAACATAATGTTAATTTATTATAATTAATATATTAATAATAATAATAAAAATATATATAATAAAAAAAACAATTTTTTTGTATTTCCCAAACATTCATGATTTATATTAAGCTTAAATAAGCGAATATAAAAGATTTTTTGTACGAGAATAAATTTAAAAAAGATAAAGAATAATTATTTATAAAGAACCGATGAATCGTATAAAAGAACCGATTTACTTAAGAGAACGAACCGACTCTGAACCGCTAACCAAGGTGAACCGTCTTGTCTTTCTCTAAGTTAGATGAATGAAAAAGAAGTTAAATAAAGTAAAATTAGAATCCCTCAGGTTGAAATATTATTGAGTTATGGCGAAGTAAAATCTTTGATAGAATGTGCGAGCAATAAATAAACCCAGTAAATTAGAAATTTACATAACAGAAAGTGATTATATTGCCCACATCAAGGAGTCACATGTAAGGGGGGAAAATTTAAAATATATATTTTATTTTATATATTAATAAACTTTTTGTTTTCTTTCTCTCTTTTTGCTGTCACTATCGTAATCAACCTTAAAAGGCTAATTGCAAAAACTTCATACGTAACAACCAAAATTTATTAATAACTAAAAACGGATAAAGGGCAAGCCATAGTAATAATGAACAAAAGTGACTACCTTTTAAAAATGAGCTCCTTGTTGGATGATTGAACCACTTATAAAAAATTAGACAAAAATCCTATTAAAAAAATTAACAAATAAAATTAATTCTTTGGTGCGATAAGTCTTGGCGCGATAATAATGTAATTGACGAATCAACGTATAAGGTATTAAATAATACAAATGGAAATCTCCCTCAATGCTACGGGCTGCCGAAGATACATAAAACTGGCGTTCCTCTCCGAATTATTGTATCTGCACTTGGCAGTCCTGTATACAATATTGCACAGTACATACATAAAATTCTACACAATACTATAGAAAAACCGAAATCGCATATAAAAGACGGTTGGTCATTTGCAAAAAAAGTAAAAAATATGATCATTAATGACGACAAAGTTTTAGTTTCATTAGATGTAACATCATTATACACCAACATCCTTAAAGAACTTGTAATTGAGGCGATTAAAAAGAGATGGAACACAATCTCACAGAATACCACATTGAATTTGTCACAGCTTACATTCGCAATAGAAACTATATAAGATTCCACATTTAAATTAAGAGTTTAACTAGGCTCTGTAATATATAAATATAAATTTAACATATATAAGATAGGCAATAAGAGCCAAATCGCGGATGACAGTGCGTTATTCTAAACGAAACTAAAATTTTTTTTCGTTAGAATTAAATACCTGTGCACAAGGCACCAAATTTTTACTTGGACACGGCCAAGATATAAAATTGGAATAATCTCTACAAGAGATTTTTAATTCCATGTATCCCCTATTCCCCCTAAAGAAATAAAGTGCGAGAGAAAAATATAGATCCGAAAGTCGCAGAATCGGGAATCGAACCCGAGACCTTTCGCTTGCCGGGCGACTGCTCTTCCAACTGAGCTATTCAGATCCTTTCGATTCTATACTTTTCTCTGTTATATATATTAATGTTGGTAAATAAACGCCTTTAAGCCAGCGTGTATAAATTAAGAGTTTAACTAGGCTCTGTAATATATAAATATAAATTTAACATATATAAGATAGGCAATAAGAGCCAAATCGCGGATGACAGTGCGTTATTCTAAACGAAACTAAAATTTTTTTTCCTTAGAATTAAATACCTGTGCACAAGGCACCAAATTTTTACTTGGACACGGCCAAGATATAAAATTGGAATAATCTCTACAAGAGATTTTTAATTCCATGTATCCCCTATTCCCCCTAAAGAAATAAAGTGCGAGAGAAAAATATAGATCCGAAAGTCGCAGAATCGGGAATCGAACCCGAGACCTTTCGCTTGCCGGGCGACTGCTCTTCCAACTGAGCTATTCAGATCCTTTCGATTCTATACTTTTCTCTGTTATATATATTAATGTTGGTAAATAAACGCCTTTAAGCCAGCGTGTATAAATTAAGAGTTTAACTAGGCTCTGTAATATATAAATATAAATTTAACATATATAAGATAGGCAATAAGAGCCAAATCGCGGATGACAGTGCGTTATTCTAAACGAAACTAAATTTTTTTTCGTTAGAATTAAATACCTGTGCACAAGGCACCAAATTTTTACTTGGACACGGCCAAGATATAAAATTGGAATAATCTCTACAAGAGATTTTTAATTCCATGTATCCCCTATTCCCCCTAAAGAAATAAAGTGCGAGAGAAAAATATAGATCCGAAAGTCGCAGAATCGGGAATCGACAACATGGAATTAAAAATCTCTTGTAGAGATTATTCCAATTTTATATCTTGGCCGTGTCCAAGTAAAAATTTGGTGCCTTGTGCACAGGTATTTAATTCTAACGAAAAAAAATTTTAGTTTCGTTTAGAATAACGCACTGTCATCCGCGATTTGGCTCTTATTGCCTATCTTATATATGTTAAATTTATATTTATATATTACAGAGCCTAGTTAAACTCTTAATTTATACACGCTGGCTTAAAGGCGTTTATTTACCAACATTAATATATATAACAGAGAAAAGTATAGAATCGAAAGGATCTGAATAGCTCAGTTGGAAGAGCAGTCGCCCGGCAAGCGAAAGGTCTCGGGTTCGATTCCCGATTCTGCGACTTTCGGATCTATATTTTTCTCTCGCACTTTATTTCTTTAGGGGGAATAGGGGATACATGGAATTAAAAATCTCTTGTAGAGATTATTCCAATTTTATATCTTGGCCGTGTCCAAGTAAAAATTTGGTGCCTTGTGCACAGGTATTTAATTCTAACGAAAAAAAATTTTAGTTTCGTTTAGAATAACGCACTGTCATCCGCGATTTGGCTCTTATTGCCTATCTTATATATGTTAAATTTATATTTATATTCCACATTTAGTTTTAATGGCCACTTTTATGAACAAGTTTTCGGCAGCCCGATGGGTTCTCCATTGTCACCCATTTTGGCAGATATTGTCATGGACGATTTAGAAACCTTTTGTTTAAATTCATTGACTTTTAATGTACCGGTGTACTATAGATACGTTGACGACATCTTCACGATTTTACCACGCTCTAAGGTTAATGAAATGTTATCAGTTTTTAATGCGTACCACCATCGCCTAAAATTTACTTATGAAATTGAAAAAGACAATTGTTTAAACTTTCTTGACACGAGTATCATCAGATGTAATGATAGGAGTCTAATCACTAATTGGTATAGGAAACCCACTTTTCGGGAAGATATATCAATTTTCTTTCCCACTCAAATATAAAATTAATTGCATTAACAACTTGGTCAATAGAGCCATTCTATTGTCTGACAATAAATTTCACATTGACAATATTCAAATTATTAAAGATATTCTAACCAATAATAATTTTCCATCTCATGATATTAGAAAACAAATTAAAAAAAGATTACATGTAATTAATAATATTAATAATAGTTTTGACAACAAGAGAGATGAAAATAACAATAAAAAATTTGACATGTTTTTCATATTGTGTTACCGTACATCAATAATCTGACTGATAACATTTCTAAAACTCTGAAGAAAAAAGGATTAAAAATAATTTATAAAAGATTCCAAAAAATTAAACACGCTAATTAAACGCGGTAAAGATGTATTACCGAAAATGAACAAAACGAATGTAGTATACAGACTAGAATGTAATGATGTGACGCGTCGTATATAGGACAAACAAAAAGACATTTTATTTACTTTATTTATAGATTATTGATATATACATATAATTATTGATTACTAGAGTAAAAGAACATCAGAATAATTAAAGACATGAAACAAGCCACTCGGTGCTCAGTAAACATAAAACCGATTGCAATCATGACTTCCGATGGCTTGAATCATCAATATTTTACATACCGAGAAAAATAGACGAAAAGAGAGATCGCTGAAATGTTCTATATAAAAAGACAAACATAAAATTAATTTACAAATAGACACTGATAACCTTAGTCCTATTTATGACAACATTATTCAAATGATTTAAAAAACATAATACCAGTCTACAGTAGCTAACTTGTCGATATGACAGGACAACTTTCGTGTTTCTATTTTTAATTATATAATTGCTGAATAAGAATAAGTATTAAGATATAAGACAGGCAGTAAGAGCCAACTCGCGGATGACAGTGCGTTATCCTAACGAAACTAAATTTTCGTTAGGATTAAGTATCTGTGCATAAGACACCAAATATTTTACTTGGTCACGGCCAAGATTTAAAATATGAAATAATCTCATATTTGAGATTTAATTTCAATAACCCTTTCACCCCCCTACGGAAATAAGTAAATGCAAGAGAAAAATATAGATCCGAAAGTCGCTGAATCGGGAAACGAACCCGAGACCTTTCGCTTGCCGGGCGACTGCTCTTCCAACTGAGCTATTCAGATCCTTTCGATTCTATACTTTTCTCTGCTATATGTAATAATGTTGGTAAACAAACGCGTTTTTAAGCCAGCGTGTATATAAATTAAGAGTTTAACAAGGCTCTGTAATATAAATATAAATTTTAAGATATAAGACAGGCAGTAAGAGCCAACTCGCGGATGACAGTGCGTTATCCTAACGAAACTAAATTTTTCATTAGGATTAAGTATCTGTGCACAAGGCACCAAATATTTTACTTGGTCACGGCCAAGATTTAAAATATGAAATAATCTCATATTTGAGATTTAATTTCAATTTCGGGAATTCCCGATTCAGCGACTTTCGGATCTATATTTTTCTCTTGCATTTACTTATTTCCGTAGGGGGGTGAAAGGGTTATTGAAATTAAATCTCAAATATGAGATTATTTCATATTTTAAATCTTGGCCGTGACCAAGTAAAATATTTGGTGCCTTGTGCACAGATACTTAATCC